TTCTGAGTTAGGGATTTTAAAATTGTCAACTGATGTTGCATGAAGCAGTTTTAATCATTTAACTGAATATAATTTCTAAATTGTGTAGTTAAAGACCAGTTGAGTACAAAACAGTCATGCAACAAAAAGCTGTATCAGCGATAGTAGGAACTGCAGATGCTGGAGAATCTGAGATAACACGGTGTAGGAGCTGGATGAACACAGCAGGCCGAGCAGGAAGGCTGACGTTTCGGGCCTAGATTAAGAAGGGTCTAGGCCCGAAACGTCAGCCTTCCTGCTCCTATGATGCAGCTTGGCCTGCTGTGTTCATCCAGCTCTACACCGCGTTATGCAACAAAAAGCTGCTTAGTGTAAAGGTGGGTCAATTCACGTGACGAAGGAGCAGCTCATCGAAAGCTTGTGATTTTAAACAAACTTGTTGGACCACAGCCTAGTGTCATGTGACGTCTGACTTAATATGAATGGAGCGCGTGTCCGTCCTGCAACCATTCGGAGTGAATGAGGGCGGTTCTTTCCTGCAACCAATCGGAGTGAATGTGGGGCGGGTCCGTCCTTCAAGAAATCGGAGTGAATGAGGGTCGAGGCCCGAAACGTCAGCCTTCCTGCTCCTATGATGCTGCTTGTTCATCCAGCTCTACACCTTGTTATCTCAGATTCTCCAGCATCTGCAGTTCCTACTATCTCGGAGTGAATGAGGGGTGGGTCCGTCCTGCAACCATTCGGTGTGAATGAGGGGCGGGTCTTCCCTGCAACCAATCGGAATGAATGAGGGGCGTGAACGAGGGACGGGATAATCAGCACACGGGACTACCTTCCAGTGTGTTGTGACTGAAGGTTGGGTAAGTGCGGAAGTAAATATTTAAAAGGCATTTGGTCGAACGTATGCATAGGAAAGGTTGAGAAGGACGTGGGTAGGGAAAATGGAGTTAGTATGCACCAGTTTGGGCTGAAGCGCCTAACTGTCTCTGTGCTGTAGGAGTCTATAAAGGAGGTAGTAAACAGTGACAGATAACGTGGAGCAGTTTAGAAACTGAACCGTTATTGATTGAGAGGTTTTATAAACGCCCAGTTTCAGTTGTTATCTCAAAATATGAACGTTCCGGTCTCGCGTTTGTAGCACATGGGGGAAAAGGGCTGCGGGCCTCACGCCTGTATTACTGTGGCTATTTACTGGGGACAATGTTTGTGTAGAAAGTATGCGGCCGCTATCTTTATATGGGGGTAGCAACAACTGCAGATGCTGGAGTTAGAGATAACACAGTGTGGATCTGGTTTGAACACAGCAGGGAGTGGGAGGGGGAATTTATAATGTTGGTGACCGGGTGATATGTCCATCCTGGGCCTCCTCCAGTGTCACAATAACACTACCCGCAAACTGGAGGAGCACCACTTCAGATTCCACCTTGCGAACCTACAGCCCGATTGCCTAAATATGGAATTCACCAGGTTTAAAATCTCCCACCCCTGGCCTCATACCATAACTGTCCGTCGCTCTCATCCCTGCCTCCTTGACCTGACACAACCCGTTAACCTTCTGTTCCCCCCCAACCCACTGGCCAATCCTTACCTGCACTCCCCTATCAGCATCTCACCATCCCACCTACCTTCCCCAGCCCTACCCCTCCTCCCTCTATTTATTTCTGAGCTCCCTTCCCCCATTTCTGAAGAAGGGTCCTGACCTGAAATGTCAACTTTCCTGCTCCTCTGCTGCCTGGCCTGCTGTGTTCCTCCAGATCCATACTGTGTCACCTTTATAGGGACATGTTTCACTGCTGTGGGTTTGGGTGGACAGAAAGATAACATTTACATAAACTGAAATCAAAAGGGATATTTGTCCCTAGAGGACCATTTTCTGAAGAACGGTCTAGGCTCGAAACGTCAGCCTTCCTGCTCCTCTGATGCTGCTTGGCCTGCTGTGTTCATCCACCTCCACACCTTGTTATCTCAGATTCTCCAGCATCTGCAGTTCCTACTATCTCTGGATATTTGTCCCTTCTAGATTGCTAATCTGCACTGACAGTAATGAATTTTTATGCAAACTGTTTTTACAGGACCTTTTAAAAGTGAAAGATTTGCAGATGGGTGCCTCAAAAACATATTGTTTAGGGATCACTCGATTCATCAGATTCAAATATCATCGACCTTTTGTGTGCAGGAGATTCAGGTTTGTTTCTGTTTCTTACACAGAAACAATTTTATATTGAGAAGGCAAAATTATGAAGAGATTAGAAAACAGGAATGTGAATTTACAATTGAGTTGCTGAACTAGGAATATGGTATATGGAGACACCGTTGTAGTGAAGTGGTAGTGTCCCTACCCCTGGATCAGGAGGTCTGTGTTCATGTCCTACCTGCTGCAGACATGTGTGATAGCAGCTCTGAATAGGTTCATTAAAACTTTTTTTCTTATATAGTGGAAGACACGATAGGAAGTATCATCATTGTCATGTCTAAAGCTAATAGAGGCAAGAATGAGATTTTCAGAAATAGCCAACTCAATGCAGAGGTCATTTGGTATTATCACTGCACTAGTAATCCACAGAACCAAGTAAAGTTGTTCTGACATGTTATTATGAAGTGTTTCGAGAGGTTAGTAAGTGCACACACAACTCGAGCCTCCCAGATTGCCTTGATCCACTACAATTCGCCTACTGTCACAGTAAGTCTTTTGCAGACACCATCTCCTTGACACTCTGCTCATCCCTGGAACATGTGGGTAACAAGGACACCTATATCAGACTCCAGTTTATTAACTTTAGCTCCACCTTCAACAACATAATACCAACAAAACCCATCTCCAAACTCTGAGACCTAGGACTCCCTGCTCTGCAACTGGATCTGTGAATTCCAGTCTCACAGACTGCAATCAGTGAGGATAGCTGACAACACCTATTCCACCCGAATCTTCAACACCGGTGCCCCACAAGGCTGCGTACTGAGCCCTTTACTATTACTCCTTATACACTCACGACTATGTGGCAAATTCAGCTTTAACTCCATTTACAAATTTGCTGATGACACCACTGTAGTGGACAGATCTCAAATAACAACAAGATGGAGTACAGGAAGGAGATAAACTGCTTAGTGGCATTGTGTAAAGACAACAATCTTTTCCACTATGTCAGCAAAATGAAGGAGTTGGTCATTGACTCAGGAAGCGGCGTGGAGAGAGGCACGGTGGCACAGTGGTGGCACTGCTGCCTCACAGCACCAGGGACCCAGGTTCGATTCCAGTCTTGGCTGACTGACTGTATGGAGTTTGCACATTATTCCCGTGTCTACGTGGGTTTCCTCCAGGTGCTCGGGTTTCCTCCCACATTCAAAGATGTGCAGGTTAGGTGGATTGGCTAGGCTAAATTGCCCGTAGTGTTCAGGGGGGTGTAGATTAGGTGGGTTATAGGGGGATGGGTCTGGTTGGGATGCTCTGAGGTTCGGTGTGGACTTGTTGGGCGAAGGGCCTGTTTCCACACTGTAGGGATTCTATGATTCTGTGAAGTCACAACCTTGTCTGCATCAATGGTGCTGACGTAGAGGTGTAGGTACAAACGTTTGAGAACATATACCAACAGATTTAAGAATAGCTTTCTCCCTGCTGTTATCAGACTGATGAACCAATCTCTCGGTATATTCGAGTTGATCTTTCTCTGCATTTTCTCTGTAGCTGTAACAATTCTGCATTCTGTTCTATTACCCTGATTTACTTAGGTAAGATATGATGATATGGTTTAGCTGACAATAGACAGGGAGTGGTGAATCAATGGAATTCACTGCCACAGAAGACTGTGGAGGCCAGATTATTGAGGATATTTAAGATGGAGATAGATAGGTCCTTGATTATCAAGGGTTACTGGGTGAAAGTGGGAGAATGATAGATTTCTAAACTCCCACCATGATTGAATGGCAGAACAGACCTGATAGGCTGAATGGCCTAATTTCTGCTGCTATGTCTTATTGTCTTAGTACTTTTCACTGTATCTCAGTACATGTAACAATAATAAATCAAAGCAAAGTGCAAGAGGGTATTCCAGGAGCAACATTTGGGAATACCTCAAAATGAACTGTTAACCTATTGAAGTGACAAAACCAGGCTGTTTGCATGTCAAAGAGCATTAGCAGCAACTGAGAGACATAGCCAAGCTGTCCCACAACCAACAAAGCAGATCGAAGCTCTTCAGACCAGTCACATCTAGTTGTGAATGGCGATGGACAATTTAAACAACTAAGTTCAGGCTTCACAAATAATCTCATCCTCAATGATGAGGCTGCCCACCAAAACAGTGCAAGAGATGAGGCTGAAGCACACAGGGAGCAGAGATTTGTATGGCTCTAAGGTTACACAGCGGTTAAATGTGGGAGGTAAGCCAGGAGTGTGTTTGGATTATTAAATCTAGAGGTAACAAAGGAAATGATGAGAGTTTCATCAGCAGATGAGCTGAGATAAGGTGGAGTTGGGTGAAGTTACTGAAGTGTAAATAGCTGGTCTCGGTGAAGATGGAGTTACGTGACTAAATGCTTGTCTGTGGTGAAAAGGTTTGCCATGGTTATGAATAGTCTGGTTCAGCCTCGATATTTACCAGGGAGAGAGATGGAGTCAGTGACAGTCTCCCAGACTAGGTCCCTGCCTGTGATGAATGGCAGTGCCCTAGTTGGACGTTATGACGGTCCAGCGGCTTTCAATGGTTACTTTTTCAGAGTGTCGACTCCACACATTTTTCAAGATTCATTCAGCTCAATTTCACAACCTGCCTTTGTGTTTTTCTAAGTTTTCTCCCTCATTCACTTTTTTTCTGTTTGATATCAATTTCACAGGAATTTAGAATGAGAGGATTTGCAGTCACAAATATCCAAATCAAACACCACATCAGCATCTGACGGAATCATGCAGCATATTGACATGTGAACACCATTTGATTTTGAACATGGAAGGAAAGAGCGCTGTTCACAGTGGAGAGAATCTGTACATGTCTTCTGTGTGGAAAAAGCTTTCAGCTAATCACTAGACCTCTCAAAACATAAATACAGGCACCAAATGGAGAAACCGTGGAAATGTGAGGACTGTGGGAAGGGATTCCCTTCCCCATCAAAGCTGGAAACTCATTGGCGCAGTCACACCGGGGAGAAGCCATTCACCTGCTCGAAGTGTGGGAAGGGATTTACCCAGTTACCCCACCTACTGACACACCAGCGAGTTCATACTGGGGAGCGACCTTTTAAATGCTTCCAGTGTTGGAAAGGATTCACTCAATTAGGTCACCTACTGACACACCAGAGAGTTCACACTGATGAGAAACCCTTCATCTGCACTCAATGTGGGAAGAGTTTCAGGCATTCAGACAGCCTCATTACACACCAGAGAGTTCACACTGGGGAGAGGCCATTCACCTGCTGCCACTGTGGGAAGGGATTCACTCAGTTCGGTACCCTGTTGACACACCAACGAGTCCACACCGGGGAGAGACCATTCATCTGCTCCATGTGTTGGAAGGGATTCACTACCTCATCTCACCTGCGGAGACACCAGCAAGCTCACCATTGATGAGAGATACTGGATTGCGTCGTTCCTGCTGCTGTTGATCAGGACGGTCAGGTACCACTTAGAATTGCTCACTGTGAAGACGATAGTGTATAAAAGATGCACAAAATGCTTTGAACTGTCAAACATGTCAAGAAGTGTTTCTATCAACGAGAGCACTTTCTTAAATAGCATGCCATCTGCAACGTCGAGCTTTCAGTAATTGAACTGAATTTGTTTTCTCCTCTGTGCATGGGTATTTGTGGATACTGGTGAGCTGGCCTGGTAGGTGACGGGGAAATAATGCTGAGTGGACGTAAGCCTTAAATTGGTGTAGTGAATGGGGGTAAGGAGAGGGTACTGGGTGACATGGACGGAGCGTGGGCAGAGTGACTGGGTGAGTGATGGAGGATGGTTTCTGTTTTATTGCTTCATTTGATTTTTGGTCACAGTGCTGAAATCCAAGGCAGGCTGTCTGCCCCAGGCTGCCTTGCGACCTGGCAACCTCATCCAGTGTTCCTGGATCATTTTTCCGATTTCCAATTGATCCCACTGCCTCCTGACTGACAGTGGAGAGCATAGGTGGCCAGAATTAAAGGGCAGATTCACAGTGCCGGGAATTCTCCCTGTATACTCGGCTTGGCAATAAGAATCCTGGCCTTGGATGTTACTTTATGCTGATGTTAATGATGCCTGTCACTGGGTTGAAGTTTAATATTCTGGATCTGCAGCTGTTTAATATCTCTAGTAGGAAAGTGCCTACAACAACACTGTTGTAAAGTTAACCTGGTAATGTGGCTCATTCAACACACTCTTAGATGATTGGAGAATTGTTTGCAATGAAGGCACACTCATAAATACGCAAGAAATACAAATCTACAAGAATAAAAATGTTATTCAATTTGCATGACTGTCCGCTCCAAAATGTCTGTGCTTTTAATGTAGTGTCCGAAAGTGCAAAACTGTAGTTAACAGTCTGGAATTCCTTTGTGGGAGTGGTTAATTAAGTAGACAGTTTCTCCCCATTAAAATTCTCTTGAATGTCGTCTGAGAAATATTGCTGAAATCTACATTCTTTTTCAGTGTTTTGGTGAAAGGATGTTGATTGCTTGTATGAAGCTGTTCTACAGGTTTTCTACTGCCTTTTACAGGCAAGAGACTTCACCTTCGTTGCTTGGAGTTAGAGATTTAGATTTCAACTGTAGATGGTGTTTGAACTATTGCTGTCTGCTTAACCACTAGCTATTTCAAAATTCTCAAAGGGAGTTGAGGTAAACACTGTTGGAGTCATGTGAAAAAGTCTGCTTTTGGTCGGGGTGGTAGTGGGAATGGAGCCATTAAAATCTTGTTACAGCAGTAGGCTAACTTGTTATTTTCAATGGTGACAATCTGTCTGCGCCAGTTTATAACATGATAGTTTAACACAGGAGGTACATGAGATGTAGATATTTCAGCTAACTTGGACTTCAGGAAACATTTCTGGAAAGTTATCATTAGGTCCAGTCCTGTGATTATAGAAGACGTGTGTTATGAAATAATGTTCAATTGCTCAACAGATGCTAAATATATATGTATTAAACGTTTTTTTAATCTATTTTTGACTGTATATGCAGAAAAGCAACTGCACCAACACTGATTCCCAGAAAACTCCACTACAAATATTCTTCCATCTGTAAAACATCAATGAATTTCTACTGTTTCATGTCACTCTGTCACTTCTATATTTCTGTTGCTGCTCTCTCTTTTGGTTCATGAGTTCTGACCTTGCTCACAAGTCCATTGTGTGGCACTGTCTTAAATGAAGTTTGGAAGTTGGTGTGTACCACATTAACACTCAGTTCAACATAACCTGTTTGCTCTTCAAAGCACTTCAGCAAATTAACTTCTTAAGGCAAAATCATGTTCAACTAATGCTAACTTCCCTCAGTTATACAGCAATTGTCCATGTGAGTGTTAATAACGTCCCAAGTTATTGTTTTTAAAAGTTTCCTGACCCAAATGAACCTGACTAACCTTGCAGCCACAGGCCAATCTTTGCACTTTTTTTTACAACCAGGGCATAACATTTTCAATTGTTCAGTCTTCCAGTACCACCCTGAAAGTAAAGAACATTGATAAATTATAACAGTTACGTGCAATTTCAGATCCCACTTCCCTCAGTTGGGCTACATCTCAACCAATGAGTGTCTTATTAACTTATAGGATGGACAACCTAACCAATACCTCCTGTTTGTAAATGATAAACCCCACCAATTAAGAATAGTACACAATCACTGTGGTTACTTGTGAATTTGCAGGTGGGATGACTGAATAAGTCCCTTCCCACAGACAGAGCAGTTGAATAGGTGCTCCCCAGTGTGAACTCTTAGGAATACAGCGAGATGAGTCCTTGTACCCACTACCACCGTGAGAGCACTTGAACGGTGCCTCCTCACTGTGAATATGCTGGTGTGCCGTCTGGGTGGATGACTGAGTGAATCCCTGCCAACACTCTGAGCAAGTGAATAGCCTTTCCCCAGTGTGAATACACAGAAGAGTTTGCAGATTCAATGGGAAATGGATCCTTTCCTACAGACCCTGCATTTCCATGGATTGTCCAGTTGGTGGCTGCATTTGTGTGTTAACAGGTCAGAAGGTCAGCTGAATTCTCATCCTCACACACACGTGTAAGGTTTCTCCCCACTGGGAACAGTACTTTTTCCTTCGATATTTAAAATCTGATGATATTCTGCTTACGTGAAATTGGGCCGCTCTGTCAGATACTGACGTGATGTTTGATTTCAGTTTCCTAATTGCAAATTCACCTCTTCTCATACCCTGTGAAATAAAGGTAAAATAGATAGGTAGTCTGAGAGAGAAGCCACAAAAACGTAATGACAGGTTCTGTAGCTGAGCTGAATGAATCGAATAATTTGGGGCTGCAGCTAGGAAAAAGTGACAATGAAAGCTGCTGGATTGTAATAAAACCCAATTAATTTATGAATGTTCTTCCAGGAATGAAATGCCACATGGTCTGGACCTACAGAAGGCATGGGCCTCAGAACGAAAGAGAGAAACTGATGCAGAGGGTGGGGGAGAGGTAGGACATGCAAGGGATGAAAGAGAGAATTTTTATTTTAACAGCTGAAGCAGATCTTTGACAAAATCTCCCAAACCCCAATGTTTGCCAACGAGAAGGACCAGGTGAACACCATTACTTCTAGTCGCACTGATTTGTCTGGGTGAATAGAAATTTCCTCCAATTAAATATTGGAAAGCTTGAAACCATTTTCTCTGGTCTCCCCTACAATCTCCACTCCCTCACGACTGACTTCATCTCTTCATCCCAGTGATAACTATCTGAGGTTGAACCAGACTTCACAACCATGGGGAAATATTTCATCACCAAAACTTCCTACGTCCACCTCAGCAACATCACCTAACTCCACCCTCGTCTCACCTTATCTGCTGCTGAAATGCTCACTTTTTCATTTGTTACCTCTGGACTTAACTATTATGACACATTCCTGGTCAGCCATCCACATTCAACCTCCTTGTAAACTTGAGCTCATCCAAAATACTGCTGCCCGTCTGCAAACTCGCACCAAGTCTTGTTCATGCGTCACTGTTCCATAATTCGAATGAGATGATAATAAATCTGCTGAAATTAAATGCAAAAGTAAAAACGTAATAGATTTTCTAAATTGAAAACAAATGTATACAAGAATGAAGGATAAGGTGCAGAGGAATCAAAGTGTAAATAGAAGGAAGATTCTAGTTGATATTTTGTCTTATTACTCAGTAACTTTGAGAAACAGGATCAGCATCTCTCACACCTTACTGAGAAATAGAAGTTGAGTAGATTCTCTGTCCTCTCCTGTATTTTATTCTGATCCATCAATCAGAGTGAACGTGCAAGTCCCACGTGTCCACAGTCACTTACACTAGGTCAGCTGCTGGATGGAACCTTGGCTGCCTGGAGCTTGATCTCTGGTGTCTCCAGTCCCGACTGCCCCCTTAAATCAGTATCCTCTCACGTTTATACCCTGCAATGACCAGCTCTGGCCCTTTATTGTTTGTCTTCTCTGCTGGGTATTGGCAGGAAGTGAGGAAAAGACAGCTGGAATTTCTCTTATGTGTAATTTACAAGGACACATTCCTTGGTTCACAGCAGCTACTTTTCTTCAGTCATTTTCTCATTCACCTACACTTTCCTGTCTGCTGGTAATTGAGTGATTTATGATAGTTTCACAATAATAGACATAAACATGACACATTAGATTCTAATTATTTTCTCACTTACCTTGGTTGAAGTTTATATTGTGGTTAATAACACAAAAGGCCTGTCCTTTTCATTTTTCGAATTTAGAATAACGTGATTCTGTGCAATGGAATGTCTTGTCAGAGTTGCCATGGCGACCTGTCTGCAGGAAGTGCCTGCTTGAGTTTGTAAATCAGACTGAACTTCTCTTTCCCATAATACACATTGTATCAGACATTTCACCTCAATGTCTCCCAGCCACATAACAAAAGATTCAGATACACAAATCTTCCGCAAAAACAGAAATTGCTGGAGAAACTCCAGTGATTTATGATTCAACACCTCAACTCTGTTTTCTCTCCACAAATGCTGCTAGACAAACTGAGTTTCTGCAGCAATTTCTGTTTTAGTTTCAGATTTCCAACATTTACATTTTCTTGTTCCACTTTACACAAATCTATAGTTTGAAGGAGAAGGTTAAAATGCTGTTTGAGTCTTTGAGCCTAATTTACCAGCACCTTCCAGTTCTGAAGAAATCACACCAGACTCGAAATGTTAATCCGTTGCTATCTCCACAGATGCTGCCAGATCCAATATTCCAATTTTGTCTCAAATGTCCAGTATTTGAAGCATTTTGCCTTTTTCTGACTGGAGGGAGTTTGATTCTGACAGGATTTACCTTGATGATAGTGAAATGAACCTATTAGCGTTTCCTGTGGACACTGATCCTGAAGTACAAGGAATGTCTGCATCTTGTACTGTGACCTTGATGCAGTTTTGAATTCCAGGCTCGCATTTCCCTCATCCTGCTTTCTGCTGTGTCACCACGGGTTGA